TAATATCAAATTCCGTGACTGATGGGCCTCAAACTACATGGTCGTCTTTTTGCTTCAACATTCGAGTAATGAAGAGCTTTTTGCTTGCCGTTGCTCGATTAATAATACTTCGAAGTAGCAACATTCCGGGACTATCTCGATCTTCGACGCTGTGTTGCTCTTTCTTGTGAGTCCGAGCGCGAGCTATTTCGCCGTGGTGATATTGATACATTTCGTCGTCGAGAACGTCCTTTTCGTTCCTTCTTGTCCTCCTTTCCATCTTCAGATCGACCTCTTGATCGATGTGTATGTTTTCGCTTTCGTTTGTGCTTGCTCGACTTCTTCTTCGAGCGATGGCGATGAGAAGACGCATCAGAGTCCACCTCACTGTCGCTACTGATATCATTTCGCGACTGTTTCTTCAGCTTCTTCATTAATTTCTTCTTCTGCTTCGTAGATAATGTGGCTAAGAATGCGTCTTCTGCGGCCTCGACATCTTCTACAAACAGCAAAAACGACACTGTCAGACTTTTTTCTTCATAACTAAGCAGGAAATGTCGTCACTCACCGTCATCTGACTGCAAAATCTCGAATCCTTGTGCTGTTGTTTCCTGCATCTCCAGCGGCAAAGCTCCTCTCCTAAAAACCAGATCCTGTTTCGCCGACTTGAGCTTGTTAATCTCCGTCACCGGGTCCTCCCATCTCTGCCTAGTAGCATCTAAATACAATGCAACACAACTGCATTAGCATCGAGTTTCCCACTTTCACTAATCAACTCACGCACCATTGGGGTTCTGATCTCGAAGCTTGCACTCTCTGTCCCCGCTTTGATGTCCCCATTCCCCACATCGGATGCAGCGTACGTTGCGTAGTCTGAGCCCTAAGGGATTAAAGTTGACCTTAATAGTCTCTGTGTATTTGCCTTCCACTGGAGCATCCTTCAGTATGGGGAACCGTTCTACTTGATCCTTAATCGTAAGTGTCTCCTCTGCTCTGCGTCCAACGTATCGCTCGAGCTTTGAGCGCTGCGAGTCTCCGCGTCTCTCGGCCCTGCGTCGAAATTCCCGTACTGCTTCATCTTCTTCTTTCTGTTGTTTCTGATCTTCCGCTTTTGTAGTCTCTGGAAGCCCTGGCGGCGCAGCGTATAGGAAATTAACCTGTGCACTGGCCACACGACGAGCGGCAGCAACGTCTCCAGATGCAGCAGCGGCCTGCTGAGCCTGCAACGCCTCGGCTGCCTTGCGCACCTCCTTGGCTCTCTGTTGCTCGCGCTCCTCTCGCTCTTTGGCCTGCTGCTCCGCCACCCAGATGCGCTTCTGGTTGGCTTTACTGGCCGGATGCCACGACTTCTGACCCAGGAACTGCAGCGACATTGGCAAGACTTGGACACTAGATTTTGAGAGGGGCACTTGATTTGGGACGACTAAAGCTTAATAGGTTAAGTTTCTAGAACGGACATCTAAATTTCGTGCTAAATTTATGCTGACCCAAAAAAAATCTGTGCCGACCAAAAAAAAGAAATTTACACTGACCAAAAATTGATCGACTAAACTTTAGATCAGCCGCATTGATCATGTTCGGCGGAGGTGCGTGCAGCTTCAGCTTCGGCACCAAGGTACGTCGCTCTCTGACCAAGACAAGCTATGTCGTTTCTGTTAGTTGATACGATTTACCACGGGCTAGGTTCGAACGCTAGAGTCGGTGCTGGCGGAGAAGGACCGCGCGCAGTTCTTCGTGGGAACCAGCACGTTGAACCAGCCCAATCAGG